CTGTGTTTTTAGTGTTATTAACAAAGTTTGTGTACCCAGATCAGTGATATTTGGGGTCACAAGTTTTTGCCATGGATATTTTTTGGGTCAGAAGATAAAAAGTTTGGGAACCACTGGWCTAGATGAACTGATTAACACTCTACCCGATTCAAGATGGCTGCCACAACAAAGCAGTCTCATCAAGCACAAAAATATCCATACCATAGTGCATATTGGATATTTTAAAGCTATAATTACAATCATTTACAACACATGCTTTTAAATGTTAACTGATCTTGCGTAAAATTGTGCAAATATTTCAGCCAACATGACTATAACTTAGTCTTTTTCATCATTTGGGAGCTGACAGCAGATGATCCTGTGCTATCCATGCTGAAATGAAGATGCAACAGTTTAGTCTCTTCAGTAAACTTTATATTAGGGCTGCACAATATATAGAAAATGTATTTTCATTGCAGTATTAATTATTGCTTGGACAAATGCTCTGCTGTATTATACATCTGGTCAATCCAGACTCACTGAACTTGTTGCCCACRCCTGGTTTCTATCATGAAGGGAAAGTGAGAAGTGGGTAAAATATTGGTTTACCAAAATTACCATTGTCATATATGTGTTAAACAATGTTATAACACATTGCAAGTTTTTCTAATAATGTCCTGTGTGCATTTTCACATGAGTTTATGCTGTTTTTTATTACTGGAACACAAAAGCCAATGTCTGTTTTTGTTTTCCAAAGGCAGCAGAAAAGTGGACTCATCTGACCACAACACGTGAGGACACTGACTTTGTGTCCATCTGCCATGAGCTGGTTTGTGTCTCTGCACAGGTTTCATACGTGGCTCCCTTCTTACTGCAAAACAGTTTCAGGTTACATTTCTGGTTTCAGCCGGGCACTGTGGAAAAATAACAATGGTTTTCCAGGTTACCCCCCCAAGCCTGTGTGCTAACGTTTATCACAGTGAGCATACAAATAACTCTTTTCCTCAGATTTTCACATTTTATTCGTAACTTGTTTAGAAAAAACTCGTTTCTTTGCATTAAGAAGATTTTCTACCTGATCCATGATTCCAGGACAGAGTTTGGCTCCAGTGATTAGACTGTTCCCAAAGCTCTTTGTGACGGTAGTACTGTGCGCTSTGATCGGTGGGACTCTTCCTGGAGTTCTCTGTGGGATCTGTAAGCTCGGACCCACTGGATCATTCCCAGTGCAAATCCTAAAATAAAGAGGTGGCTTGTCTGCAGACGTGTGTTTCTGCAGATTTGGGCCTGAGGTTTCCTGGATGGACAGCTGGGCTCCACTGCACAAAGAAACTATTGAGCCCGACCATCCAGCTGTGGTCACTGCACAGGGGCATTCCACGGCAGCGCTCCCTGTCCACATTTTCTCTTTTATTACAAGGACGCCTGCTGTGCCTCCTGCCAGCTCTCCTTGCCATGCATCTGACTAACACACCAAGTTAATTGTCTCTGTGTACTTCTTGTTCCAAAAGAAAATAAGTACGTAATATTTAGTTTGCTTTCCTAAGCACACTAGTTTAAAATCAGGAAAAAATACATCATTACTTCTTGAAACTCATGACGTTCCCTAAAATGTTTTTGTTCTGACTTTTTATGATGTCTTGCAGGACTGAAGTATTGGAACAGATGAAAATCTTAGAAATACCTTGAGATTTTATAGGCTGCAAAAGATGAACAAAAAAATGAAAGTAAAAGTTCTGGCCTTAAATASACTTCTGCCCACTTCCTTAAATTACTATAATTATTTTATTTTTTTGCCTACGTGTTGTGCAACACAACTCAAAGCTCCAAAAATTCACCGGGAACCAGTTTTTTGTCTTTCTTATCTGGGCTCAGTGCTGTTATCAAAAGCAGTAGTATTCTTACAGGTTTGCTGTKACAAGTACTTCGATTCTAGGCTAATTACAGTGTGCCTGACTAAATAAAGACAGCACCATGGTAATGTTTGTGAGAATGTGAAAGGAGCATAGAAAAAAAATACCATACACACTTTTCTCCATCAACCTACAAATATTGAGATGAAATTTAATCACCTTTAACGAGGAAGATGACATTCTTTCAGTGTGCTGTAATAAATACAGTTTATGGGAAACTTGTGTAGGTGGATGTACTGATAACAGGAAGGCTTACATCATACTTGAACCTTTTTAAAACCATTTTTAACGAAAACCTTTAATGGAAAAACTGATGACAGCACAGTACTACCAATGTGACAGCTTCATGTGACTTTCTCTTAGGAAACTTTGTCCAGACGAAGTGAAAGGTTGTTTCTCTCCAGCCTTTTAAAGAACACTGAATAAAATCCTTGTAGAAAACTGCTGTTGTATTTTAAACAACCAAAGCTACACATGGGSTGGTATGAGATTCTGACTATACCTTGGGCAGAAATACAATAGTTTGATAGTATTCAATCAAAAATAAAAATAAAAAGATTTATTTGCTTTTACAAAAATGCAATGATTATTACATTTTGTTGACTAAATATTTGTACATATTGTTCAATAATAATAATTTTATGGAGTTTACCAATACTAAATGAAAWATGTATGTATGAACCAACCATTAGTAGGCAACAAATCTCTTGTTCAGGTACCAAGACAGGGTAAATGGTGAGCTAACACATTCTCATGTCGGACTCGTAACATATAAACACTTGGGTGCGGCGTCCGTCCTTGCCAACTGCGTTTTTTCCGGGTTTGTGTGACGTATGAGGTCAACATGAGGAATCAGGATTAAAGGTTAACTTTAGGGTCTGTGGTTAACATGAGGTTAGGGGTT